AGCCCGGCCTCCCGAGTGGCAGCTTTTATCCTGTGTTCCCAGAGCACTGGATTCCTCTGGGGTGCCTGGAGCCCCCAGCCCATCCGTCAGAGCCGTTCCCCTCTGCCTACCGTATCTTGGGGTTACACGTGAGATTTTTATTTGTGAAAAAGGATTCCATTGCTTTAAACAGTGTTTGTGAAGACCACATGAAAAGGTACATTCTGACACAGACCATGCAAACTGTTCAAAGTGGTGCAAGGCTTTTGACTTTAGAGAAACAATTTTGCATTAACAGACGCGGAGGTTGAACCCGAGGGAGGTTCCCCGGGCCCCAGCAGGCTGCCAGCGGTCTCCCCCACGAAACTGTTCAAAGTGGTGCAAGGCTTTTGACTTTAGAGAAACAATTTTGCATTAACAGACGCAGAGGTTGAACCCAAGGGAGGTTCCCCGGGCCCCAGCAGGCTGCCAGCGGCCTCCCCCACATGAGGCCAGTCTCCCTCTTGGCTGTGGGGCTCAGCCTGGACCAAGCAGTTGCTCCACTGGACACAAGCTGGTTCTGGATGGGGGCATGAATTCGTCTCTGCTACCAGGACTTCAGTGGCCTTAGCTTTTGAAATAACTTTTTCTGATTGCAAAAAAAAAAAAAAAAAATACAGAAATAAAGCAAAAGAATAACTATAAACTTTAGAACAGAACTTTTTAAAAAAAAAAACTTTTTTCTTCTTCCAGATGAAAGTGAAATTTGAGTGAAGGAGTTAGATTTGAGGCACATGGAAAGATGGTCTTTCTGGACCCCTTCTGGAGTGCGGATTTTTGGAGGGCGTGTGTCCCTGGCTGTCTGTTGAGAAGCTGGGGACCACCACAGGTGTACCTCAGGGCTGGGACCAGGACGTGCTTTTGTGAGAAACAGATTAGAATAATGAGAGGTCCAGACTTTTTTATTTAAGAAATAAATGTTTATTAGAAAGTTCGAACTAAACTTAAGCAATACAGTAGGTATCTTCATGTGTCAAGCTTTTAAAAAAAGAAACCGAGGTATAATCTTCTCAAAGAAAAGACCTGTCTTTAAAAATTTTTGTTTTGTTATTATTTCTGGGAAGCTTTTATTTAAGCTACACATGGGGTCCAAATGGAACTGACTGCTTTGCAGCAAACTGTCTTTCCGTTGTCAGGACCAGAGGACAGAAATGCTTTCTGCGAGGACAAAATAATAATCCTTGACTCTTACTGGTTGCTTTTAATTTCACCCCACCTTTATCCCACAACACTTACTCTTTCCAAAGCCCCATCCTAGAGACAGAAACATGCCTGGCTCTAGTACCCAGTCTGTCAACACTCCTCTGGCTACCTCTTCACCTGCTAGACGTTTCTCTCAGACACAGCCTCACGGAATTAATTTTCCCCGTTTTAGGCCCACGGGCTGACTTAAAGCCACAAACTCAGAAGGAACTTGGAATGCACATTTAAGAAGTGGCACCACGGAAACCGCCCACCTGGGGCATTTCCAACCCCCTCAACCTTGTGTTGAGACCCTTCCCCTCTGAGGGGGAGAAGAGCCCTCTGCCCCGGGACACCCCTCATACAGCAGCGGGTGACACCAGCTGTTACAAGGTATTTGAGATTCCCGCCAACATTCCCCCAGAGGTGTGCCTCTGGACTTGATACACCGCGTGGCAGGAGCCAAGCAGAGGCCAGAGGAAACTGGCCGGGTGGGCACAGGGACAAGGGCTGCTGAGAAGCCATCAGGCGCTCAGCTTCCCGTCCTAAAGCCTCAAGCTTTGAATTTCAGTTGTCAAAGGAAAATGCACACTTTGCGGGACTTATTTTCCTTTGAATAATAAGGTTTAAACTCTAATCATAATATGAAAAACTGCTCTCGGAAACCTAGAAATGCACAATAAATATTTGTTGGTCAAATGCAATGATTTTTAGAAATACCTTTCAATGACTTTTACAAAAGGTGTATCATAGATTCAAACTGTTTTCTAAATAGTCTCCCAAAAATAGGGTTGTTCTCTCTCGTGGGGTGGCCACGTAGGGCCTCAGCAGAATGTTTCCATTGCCTGGTCCTGACCGTGGAAGTGGGCTCCTGAAAGCAAACTACTTTGACCCCATTTGTAGGTAACATAAAAGCTTCCCTGAAACAGTAATAATAAAACAAAGATTTTTGAAGACAGGCTTCTCTTTGAGAAGAAAACATTACACGATATGAATGGGGTTTCTCAGATTTCCATGATCCCAAGAGTTTCTGCCAGGATTTCCTGGTACTTATGGATACCACACCCCCACACATACACACGCACACACATGCACATGTACACACACCACGTCCAATACAGCATGGACACCGAAGGGAAGGAGTCCGTATCTGAATATCTGAGCTCCATAAAGCAGCTTCAAGTTTGCCAGACGGTATTCAGTAGGGAAAACGCTCAAAGTCAGAGAAGCAGGAGCTTTGTTTTGAAGGTCAAGACACATGACCTTGGCCCCAATTTTCAGAGTAGAGAGGAGACTGGGGCAGAAGAGGGTCTCAGCATCCTAAAGAGAATGTTCTGGAAGCCATAGTCCCCCAGAGGAGAGAGGAAAAGAGCCCTCCATGAGCAGAGGAGGGAGACAGCTCTGAACTGAAGACTCGGGTCCATGTGCAGACCAGGGATCCGGACTCCAGCTATCTGCTGAATCTTCTGCTAGTGGCTGTCAGGACTTGGGCACACTCGGAAGGTCCCGTGTCTTGGGAGAGACCCATGCCTCACGGGCGCGTTGGAGGTGGGGGAGTCACATCTTCGTTGGCCTGTCAGGGTCTTCTCCTGGCCTCCACTGGCTGCAGGGTGCTGTGCATGCAAAGAGACACCGTCCCCCCACGTCCCTCCTGGTTCTGTGCAGCTCACTGCAGGGTGCTGTGCATGCAAAGAGACACCGTCCCCCCACGTCCCTCCTGGTTCTGTGCAGCTCATGTCTCCCAGGAACCTGCTCGGACCACTGATCACATGCCCTCACCCCAACCTCATCTGACTTGCCTGAGTCCCCTGCCTTAATACAGAAGGAGATCGGCTTTTGTGCTCCTGTGTGGCCATTTGGGGTGGGGGCACGTGACCATGAGAAGAAGTGAGCCCGGGGCTGGAAGGGGCTCAGCGACTGTCCAGCAAGTTTCCCCGAGGACTTCTCCAGCGTGCCACCTCCTGCTGCCTTGGCCAGTGGACGGAGGCGGGGCAGGCTGGGCTGCCACACGTCCTCCTTCCCAGCCAGGGTGGCCCGGGGCTCCGTGCCCTCCCCATCTCAGGATTCCTGTGAACTTGGCCATCTCCTCTGTGGACTTGGGCTGTCCTTTTCCCCCTCCGTGTTCTCATCTGGGTGGAAGAGTCCTCCTCCTGGCACGGCGCTCTGTGGCTCTGAGCAGTCTTGGCCCCAGGGACATAAAACTGACCGGCCTGTCACCCCAGCCCTCTCTCCTCTAGCACCATCTCCTTGAAGCTCTGGATGGGAGCCGAGCAGCAGCAGAGGCCACATGAGTCCACAAATTTTTTCCTGGGCTGGTCCCTGTCACCTAAATGGTGACTTGTGGCTTTCTATATGCATAAAGAGGCCACAGCCAGTCCATGGCCAAGGGCACACCGAGCCCCTAGAGGCTGCCAGCTCTCCTGCCTGGTGGCTAGGAACAAAACGTCCACAGCAGACAGCAGGGGTGGCTGAGCCACTCTCCTGGGATTTTTCTGGGGGGGGGCTGTCAGATGGCGGCCGGAGAGCCTCGCTTGACAGCCAAGCATGTCAGAAGCTGTCATCATGATGCTTAGATTCACTGTTTCACCTTAGCAGGAAAGCACCCAGAGGTATCTCCATCCCCTCTGGGTGCAGGACCCCTCCCCACCCCAGCCAGGGCCTCTCCGCCCCTCCACCCCTCAACTCCCACTTTCCTTTTGGAAAATTCAA